TTAGATATTGGAGATATAGCAGAGGTTAAACCTTTATTTTAAAGTCGATACATTGGAATTTCAGACGAGATGAAAAATTTTATAAATAAAGATGTTTTCGCTCTGTTATAACGTCTTAAAAATTACCATAAAAGGAGGTTATTCGATTTTAAGGACACGATATCTGTAATATCGGATATTAGCGCAGCTTAATCCCTTACAAAAGTAAACTTTAAGTTTCTGGAATACAAATTTGTTGGCTTCTGTTATTGATCAAAAACTTTTATTGAATTAATTAAAAAAATAGTTAACAAAAAACCTTAGGAAATTACTTAAACATGACAAGAACTTACACAAATTATAAATGTTATTAATGAATTATTAAAGCTATTTTAACTTAGACCTTAACGCTTAACTTTTACAAAAGAAAAAAAAAAAATAATAATAATTTTATACAAAATTTTTGCAAATATGTGTTTATATGCTAACTAATTTACATTAATACATTTAAAAATTAACAAAAAAAAAAAAAAAAAAAACATCTAAAGAAAAACTTACAATTTGAATAAAAAAAGTTTGTCTTTTTTTAAACAACTTTTGCAACAGTAGAACTTTGTTATAACGATTCAGTGATTGAAGAAACGTGTGATGGTCCCCTTAAATAGGATTTGAATTTTAAATTTTTTTATATAATTTAAACGATTGTTATTTTATAAACAATTCGTTTTAACTAAGTTTTACTGCGTTTGGTTTGGTATTCGTTTTTTTTTTTATAAATAAATTACAATTTCCTATAATTATTGGCCTTTTGAATGCATGTTATCGTTTTATTAATTATTGTTTTGTTTTAATTTATTTAATTAAATACTTAAAAACTAATTCAGTTGTAATTTTTTGGTATTTTCTTTTTAATTCTTATAGAGAATTTTCTTTCATTTAATGTTTCTCTTTTTAATAGTTTTTGTTAGAATAAAGTATTAGAGGAAAAAGTAATCTTTTTTTATACTTAAAAGGGTCTTTTTAGATTTTGTTAAATTGTGCTTAAATTTCTTTTAATTTCAGCTAATTAACTAATTTTTTTATTTTAGTTTATTATTTAAAGAAATTACATATTTTATTTTAAGTTTTCATAAGTGATGTGAGTTTGAAAAAAGAAAAGTTTATATACAATTGAAGTGTAAACAAAGTTTCAAATCTCATTTAACAAATCTTTTCAAAATTTATTTATCATCTTTTACTCTAAACACCTCAATTGTAAACTTCTCCATTTTTCGTAAATTTTCTTTAATTTATGTATTTGTTTACGCTTCTTTTAACTTTTATCGCTTAAAGTATTTTATTATTAACTTTATTTTAAAAAATAAAAAATAAAAAAATATAATAATAAATTTACCTAAACACTTAAATTCATCTAGTAATTAAAGTCATATTCATACACAGTTCATGATCACGACGATCACCCCAACCGCCATTACCTTTACGTAATTTAGTCTTTTTAATTAGACTGGCAACGGTGAGGGTTAAGGATTTAGGAAATATTTGCCCAGATTTGCGGGCAATACGTAAGACCTGTTGAACTTTTGAAATCACTTGATTTGATTCACAATTTTTCTTTTTATGATGGACGCCACTGCAACAAACAATACAATGAAATAAAATTATGATCAGAAGTTTATTATTTTATTCTCTATTACTCATTACCATTCTCCAATATGAAAAACTCTCGGACCTTTTACAATCATTGCATGCAATTTATGTTGTAAACATTGTTGCGATACATGTTGCAAGGACCAGTCCCAATTGTAATCATCATAAGAACAAAAATGCTGACGACATTTTCGTATACTATTCCAGGTGCTGCGATTAAATGCAAAACCCATATTATGTTTACTACTAATCCAGGGCATAACTTCTACCTAAAGATAAACAAATAGAAAATTATAAACAAAATAAATCATAAACATTTGCTAATGTATTAAAATAGTTTTTAAAGCTTTGAGGCTTAAATTTATTAGGAAAAAATGTTTAATCAAGGATAAAATAACTTTTAAGAAAACAACTAAAACTAAATTATATTTAAAAAGGGGTTTGAAATAAATAAGCAAACCATATGTGTATTAGAAATGTTTATTAAATGATTGAAATACATACATATGTATATTTAGCTAAAAAATAACATGCATAATTAAGAAATAGCAACAAAAGCTAAATAATAATTAATAGATCTTTTAAATAACAAAAAAACGTTTTCAAATTGTTACATACATTTTACAAAAACATTTGAAATTTGAAATTTAAAACCGAAACAATTTGAGATAATGCAATGGCTGTTGTTATTGAAAAGTTTTTTTTAAACAAGCAATTTTCTGAATATTGATTAAAATATTATGGAACAAATTAACAGAAAACAGCATAATTCATAAATATTTGAGGAAAATATTAAAATCATTAAAAAAGGAACTTTGAAACAAGTTGCAATTATAATCTTTAGCAACATTGTCACTGATACAAATTCCTGTTTTAATTGAAAAGATTTGAAACAAATTTTGAATTCTAAATTAGGTTTTACGTGAAATTCGCATTTTTCGTGAGAAATTAAAATTTTTTTGCCAAAATTTAGTGAACATTAAAATTTGTACTAAAAATTCCGATTTTAATAAAAGTTCAGTTCTAGTTCAGTTCTGGTTGAGTTCTAGTTTAGTTCTAGTTCAGTTCTAGTTCAGTTCTAGTTCAGTTCTAGTTCAGTTCTAGTTCAGTTCTAGTTCAGTTCTAGTTCAGTTCTAGTTCAGTTCTAGTTCAGTTCTAGTTCAGTTCTAGTTCAGTTCTAGTTCAGTTCTAGTTCAGTTCTAGTTCAGTTCTAGTTCAGTTCTAGTTCAGTTCTAGTTCAGTTCTAGTTCAGTTCTAGTTCAGTTCTAGTTCAGTTCTAGTTCAGTTCTAGTTCAGTTCTAGTTCAGTTCTAGTTCAGTTCTAGTTCAGTTCTAGTTCAGTTCTAGTTCAGTTCTAGTTCAGTTCTAGTTCAGTTCTAGTTCAGTTCTAGTTCAGTTCTAGTTCAGTTCTAGTTCAGTTCTAGTTCAGTTCTAGTTCAGTTCTAGTTCAGTTCTAGTTCAGTTCTAGTTCAGTTCTAGTTCAGTTCTAGTTCAGTTCTAGTTCAGTTCTAGTTCAGTTCTAGTTCAGTTCTAGTTCAGTTCTAGTTCAGTTCTAGTTCAGTTCTAGTTCAGTTCTAGTTCAGTTCTAGTTCAGTTCTAGTTCAGTTCTAGTTCAGTTCTAGTTCAGTTCTAGTTCAGTTCTAGTTCAGTTCTAGTTCAGTTCTAGTTCAGTTCTAGTTCAGTTCTAGTTCAGTTCTAGTTCAGTTCTAGTTCAGTTCTAGTTCAGTTCTAGTTCAGTTCTAGTTCAGTTCTAGTTCAGTTCTAGTTCAGTTCTAGTTCAGTTCTAGTTCAGTTCTAGTTCAGTTCTAGTTCAGTTCTAGTTCAGTTTAGTTCAGTTCTAGTTCAGTTCTAGTTCAGTTCTAGTTCAGTTCTAGTTCAGTTCTAGTTCAGTTCAGTTTCAGTTCTAGTTCAGTTCTAGTTCAGTTCTAGTTCAGTTCTAGTTCAGTTCTAGTTCAGTTCTAGTTCAGTTCTAGTTCAGTTCTAGTTCAGTCTAGTTCAGTTCTAGTTCAGTTCTAGTTCAGTTCTAGTTCAGTTCTAGTTCAGTTCTAGTTCAGTTCTAGTTCAGTTCTAGTTCAGTTCTAGTTCAGTTCTAGTTCAGTTCTAGTTCAGTTCTAGTTCAGTTTAGTTCAGTTCTAGTTCAGTTCTAGTTCAGTTCTAGTTCAGTTCTAGTTCAGTTCTAGGTTCAGTTCTAGTTCAGTTCTAGTTCAGTTCTAGTTCAGTTCTAGTTCAAGTTCTAGTTCAGTCTAGTTCAGTTCTAGTCATCTAGTTCAGTTCTAGTTTCAGTTCTAGTTCAGTTCTAGTTCAGTTCTAAGTTTCAGTTCTAGTTCAGTTCTAGTTCAGTTCTAGTTCAGTTCTAGTTCAGTTCTAGTTCAGTTCTAGTTCAGTTCTAGTTCAGTTCTAGTTCAGTTCTAGTCAGTTCTAGTTCAGTTCTAGTTCAGTTCTAGTTCAGTTCTAGTTCAGTTCTAGTTCAGTTTAGTTTCAGTGTTCTAGTTCAGTTCTAGTAGTTCTAGTTCAGTTCTAGTTCAGTTCTAGTTCAGTTCTAGTTCACGTTCTAGTTCAGTTTAGTTCAGTTCTAGTTTCGTTCTAGTTCAGTTCTAGTTCAGTTCTCGTTCAGTTCTAGTTCAGTTCTAGTTCAGTTCTAGTTCAGTTCTAGTTCAGTTCTAGTTCAGTTCTAGTTCAGTTCTAGTTCAGTTCTAGTCAGTTCTAGTTCAGTTCTAGTTCAGTTCTAGTTCAGTTCTAGTTCAGTCTAGTTCAGTTCTAGTTCAGTTCTAGTTCAGTTCTAGTTCAGTTCTAGTTCAGTTCTAGTTCAGTTCTAGTTCAGTTCTAGTTCAGTTCTAGTTCAGTTCTAGTTCAGTCTAGTCAGTTCTAGTTCAGTTCTAGTTCAGTTCTAGTTCAGTTCTAGTTCAGTTCTAGTTCAGTTCTAGTTCAGTTCTAGTTCAGTTCTAGGTTCAGTTCTAGTTCAGTTCTAGTTCAGTTCTAGTTCAGTTCTAGTTCAGTTCTAGTCAGTTCTAGTTCAGTTCTAGTTCAGTTCTAGTTCAGTTCTAGTTCAGTTCTAGTTCAGTTCTAGTTCAGTTCTAGTTCAGTTCTAGTTCAGTTCTAGTTCAGTTCTAGTTCAGTTCTAGTTCAGTTCTAGTCAGTTCTAGTTCAGTTCTAGTTCAGTTCTAGTTCAGTTCTAGTTCAGTTCTAGTTCAGTTCTAGTTCAGTTCTAGTTCAGTTCTAGTTTCAGTTCTAGTTCAGTTCTAGTTCAGTTCTAGTTCAGTTCTAGTTCAGTTCTAGTTCAGTTCTAGTTCAGTTCTAGTTCAGTTCTAGTTCAGTTCTAGTTCAGTTCTAGTTCAGTTCTAGTTCCAGTTCTAGTTCAGTTCTAGTTCAGTTCTAGTTCAGTTCTAGTTCAGTTCTAGTTCAGTTCTAGTTCAGTTCTAGTTCAGTTCTAGTTCAGTCTAGTTCAGTTCTAGTTTCAGTTCTAGTTCAGTTCTAGTTCAGTTCTAGTTCAGTTCTCGTTCAGTTCTAGTTCAGTTCTAGTTCAGTTCTAGTTCAGTTCTAGTTTCAGTTCTAGTTCAGTTCTAGTTCAGTTCTAGTTCAGTTCTAGTTCAGTTCTAGTTCAGTTCTAGTTCAGTTCTAGTTCAGTTCTAGTTCAGTTCTAGTTCAGTTCTAGTTCAGTTCTAGTTCAGTTCTAGTTCAGTTCTAGTTCAGTTCTAGTTCAGTTCTAGTTTCAGTTATAGTTCAGTTTCTAGTTAAGTTCAGTTCAGTTCTAGTTCTAGTTCTAGTTCAGTTCTAGTTCAGTTTAGTTAAGTTCTAGTTCAATTCTAGTTCAGTTCTAGTTCAGTTCTAGTTCAGTTCTAGTTCAGTTCTAGTTCAGTTCTAGTTCAGTTCTAGTTCAGTTCTAGTTCAGTTCTAGTTCAGTTCTAGTTCAGTTCTAGTTCAGTTCTAGTTCAGTTCTAGTTTCAGTTCTAGTTCAGTTCTAGTTCAGTTCTAGTTCAGTTCTAGTTCAGTTCTAGTTCAGTTCTAGTTCAGTTCTAGTTCAGTTCTAGTTCAGTTCTAGTTCAGTTCTAGTTCAGTTCTAGTTCAGTTCTAGTTCAGTTCTAGTTCAGTTCTAGTTCAGTTCTAGTTCAGTTCTAGTTCAGTTCTAGTTCAGTTCTAGTTCAGTTCTAGTTCAGTTCTAGTTCAGTTCTAGTTCAGTTCTAGTTCAGTTCTAGTTCAGTTCTAGTTCAGTTCTAGTTCAGTTCTAGTTCAGTTTCTAGTTCAGTTCTAGTTCAGTTCTAGTTCAGTTCTAGTTCAGTTCTAGTTCAGTTCTAGTTCAGTTCTAGTTCAGTAGTTCAGTGTTCAGTTCTAGTTCAGTTCTAGTTCATTCAATTCTTTGAGTCTATGACCTATAAACTATCGTAAAGTATGCTCGATTGAATTTATATGTAAATAATTCGGTGCTTGTTCTTTAAAAACATATTCTGAAATTAGCTTAATTTGTTTTACTATTACTATTTACTAAGTTTTTAATATCATTGATTCTAAAACTAATGTACATACATATTATAAAACCATAACGCTCCACTATACCACTATGAAAGTCTAAAGAACATTCCTCTTATCGATTGAATAAATGCATTTTTGTAATATTGTTACTATTTTACAAATTAAACATATAAATACCTCAAAGTACTTGTTAATGCCCAACGGTTGTTTTGGCATTTTTGACATGCGATATTTAATCTGCATACAGAAATATACATCAATTCTTACAAATGACATACATAGATACAGATATAAATAAATATATGTATTCGAAAACACAAAAACACTTAATGATAACGAAAATTATAATTAAATTATAAAGTTCAAATAATATAAATGTAGTAAGTAGGTAGTTGTAGTAATACATACTATTAAACAATAAATTTTAATAGACATTCAAACAGACAATCAGTCATACAAACGGGCAACATACACGTAATAAATCACAATTATAAAAAAACTAACAACCGTTTAAAATAAAAACACATACAAAACGATTAAAATGCAATTACTATAGTTAAACAAATGAATGGTAATTGAACAGGGTGTTGCCGAAAAGAAATGTATTTTGGACCGCAGATGTAAAATATTTATTTATACATACATATGTGTGTATTTTTTAAATAAAACAAGACTGACAATAACAGAAACACGAGTTTGAAATTAAATTGTAAATTTTCAAAACATTACGAATTTTGAATCGATTTTAAGTAACATTTAATTTTGCATTACCCTACTCTTAGAGTTACAATTAGTATATAGGGAAATTTTTTAAAACCAAAAGACTCAGATAAATATAATGACTGAAACTAAAATACACGCACAAATTAATTATAACATCTAAAATAATGTATGACTCGTTCACAGTATAAACTTTTAACAGAACATTTTTGAAAATTTACAATTCATACATTTGTGAGTGTGAAAATGTTGAAAAATTATCATGCAATTAAAAATCAGATTTCTAAACAAATTACTAATTAAATGTTTAATTTTTGCAAATTTGATAATTGTTTTAACTGATTCAAATTTTAGGATTTTTAAAAAATTTATTAGTTTAGCTCTAGTTCAGTTCTAGTTCAGTTCTAGTTCAGTTCTAGTTCAGTTCTAGTTCAGTTCTAGTTCAGTTCTAGTTCAGTTCTAGTTTAGTTCTAGTTCAGTTCTAGTTCAGTTCTAGTTCAGTTCTAGTTCAGTTCTAGTTCAGTTCTAGTTCAGTTCTAGTTCAGATCTAGTTCAGTTCTAGTTCAGTTCTAGTTCAGTTCTAGTTCAGTTCTAGTTCAGTTCTCGTTCAGTTCTAGTTCAGTTCTAGTTCAGTTCTAGTTCAGTTCTAGTTCAGTTCTAGTTCAGTTCTAGTTCAGTTCTAGTTCAGTTCTAGTTCAGTTCTAGTTCAGTTCTAGTTCAGTTCTAGTTCAGTTCTAGTTCAGTTCTAGTTCAGTTCTAGTTCAGTTCTAGTTCAGTTCTAGTTCAGTTCTAGTTCAGTTCTAGTTCAGTTCTAGTTCAGTTCTAGTTCAGTTCTAGTTCAGTTCTAGTTCAGTTCTAGTTCATTCTAGTTCAGTTCTAGTTCAGTTCTAGTTCAGTTCTAGTTCAGTTCTAGTTCAGTTCTAGTTCAGTTCTAGTTCAGTTCTAGTTCAGTTCTAGTTCAGTTCTAGTTCAGTTCTAGTTCAGTTCTAGTTCAGTTCTAGTTCAGTTCTAGTTCAGTTCTAGTTCAGTTCTAGTTCAGTTCTAGTTCAGTTCTAGTTCAGTTCAGTTCAGTTCAGTTTAGTTCAGTTCTAGTTCAGTTCTAGTTCAGTTCTAGTTCAGTTCTAGTTCAGTTCCTAGTTTAGTTCTAGTTCAGTTCTAGTTCAGTTCTAGTGTCAGTTCTAGTTCAGTTCTAGTTCAGTTCTAGTTCAGTTTAGTTCAGTTCTAGTTCAGTTCTAGTTCAGTTCTAGTTCAGTTCTAGTTCAGTTCTAGTTCAGTTCTAGTTCAGTTCTAGTTCAGTCTAGTTCAGTTCTAGTTCAGTTCTAGTAGTCAGTTCTAGTTCAGTTCTAGTTCAGTTCTAGTTCAGTTCTAGTTCAGTTCTAGTTCAGTTCTAGTTCAGTTCTAGTTCTAGTTCTAGTTCAGTTCTAGTTCAGTTCTAGTTCAGTTCTAGTTCAGTTCTAGTTCAGTTCTAGTTCAGTTCTAGTTCAGTTCTAGTTCAGTTCTGTTCAGTTCTAGTTCAGTTCTAGTTCAGTTCTAGTTCAGTTCTAGTCAGTTCTAAGTTCAGTTCTAGTTCAGTTCTAGTTCAGTTCTAGTTCAGTTCTAGTTCAGTTCTAGTTCAGTTCTAGTTCAGTTCTAGTTCAGTTCTAGTTCAGTTCTAGTTTTCAGTTCTAGTTCAGTTCTAGTTCAGTTCTAGTCAGTTCTAGTTCAGTTCTAGTTCAGTTCTAGTTCAGTTCTAGTTCAGTTCTAGTTCAGTTCTAGTTCAGTTCTAGTTCAGTTCTAGTTCAGTTCTAGTTCAGTTCTAGTTCAGTTCTAGTTCAGTTCTAGTTCAGTTCTAGTTCAGTTCTAGTTCAGTTCTAGTTCAGTTCTAGTTCAGTTCTAGTTCAGTTCTAGTTCAGTTCTAGTTCAGTTCTAGTTCTAGTTCAGTTCTAGTTCAGTTCTAGTTTCAGTTCTAGTTCAGTTCTAGTTCAGTTCTAGTTCAGTTCTAGTTCAGTTCTAGTTCAGTTCTAGTTCAGTTCTAGTTCAGTTCTAGTTCAGTTCTAGTTCAGTTCTAGTTCAGTTCAGTTCAGTTCTAGTTCAGTTCTAGTTCAGTTCTAGTTCAGTTCTAGTTCAGTTCTAGTTCAGTTCTAGTTCAGTTCTAGTTCAGTTCTAGTTCAGTTCTAGTTCAGTTCTAGTTCAGTTCTAGTTCAGTTCTAGTTCAGTTCTAGTTCAGTTCTAGTTCAGTTCTAGTTCAGTTCTAGTTCAGTTCTAGTTCAGTTCTAGTTCAGTTCTAGTTCAGTTCTAGTTCTTGCTATGATACTTTTGAGTTATTTTTTCACCAAAATAAAAACAACACTTAACTATAGCCCTCAAAAGAAGAAAAAATAACTTCTTAATGAAAACTGTCTACAATACAAGAAAAAAAGTGTATATAAATAATTCTTTCAAATTTCATACTTAGAGTAACGGTAGCAAGTAACGTTAAGAGCACTTATATTAAAGTTGTAATAAAATTGACCTACAAACGCGAACAGTGTTGTATTTTTCACACGGTGTGACCTCATTAAAACCAATTAAATTAATGTAAAAAGAAATTTCATCTCAAAGTAATGCTAGCAAAATAGAATAGAAACTAGGGAAAGAAAAAAAAAACATGGATGCTAAAGCAAAAGAAAATAAGATTAAGCAAAAAAGAATCGAATGCAGCAAGCAAATGGATATGATAAGCAAAAGAAAAGTAAATTATAGTTTTTTTCCAATGTAATGTAATGATATTTTACTATAAGTATTTTTTATATCGTTTTTATTGGGATACCTTCTGATAGACAGAATACAATGATGGTAAGACATGATAGCTCCATGTCTGTTGTGCACCTGATTGAGAAGTGCTCTTAGTTGTAGTGCTCGTTGCTGAGGTGATGGAAAAGGTGCCATGTGAATTGGTATTTGGATTTGTATCACCCACATATGATTTTAATTTACTGTTATTATTATTTTTAATTTTATTATTGTGATTAGTTACAATATTATTATCTTCTTTATTATTATCATAGTATCTATTATAATGTTTATTATTGTTGTTACTATTATTAATATTGTTATTATTGTTAGAAGAAGATGATGTTAAAGCTGATTGCGATGATAATTGTAGTGATTTTCTATTCCTATGATACGAATATCCTAATAAATTGTTAGTAGAGATCAGCGAGGAAGAAGCATATTGATTGCTATATGATTTTTGTTTTGACTGCAGCACACGCACACACACAATTAAAAAAATACATATAAATTTAATAAATTATAAGAAAAATGTATTTCTGTTTATATAATAGAAGATATGTATGTATGTTTATGTTTGTATGTTTATGATTGATAAATTAATATATTTGTATGTATGTAAATGTAGGATAAATTGTTAAGAAGACACATAAGTACTTTTTAAATGAGTTTTAAATTACAATTGAAACGATACGCCACAAACCACATAAAAATAGCATAAACACAATGGGACTGAATGAAAGAAGAAATAATAATAATAAATATGGAAAAATTACTAACTATGATATCTAAATCTCTCTTTAAACCGTCAAATTTCGATCTCTATTAAATGTTGCAAATTTGGTCAAGATTTTTGAATTTACAGAGTTGTATTTCTAGTTAAGTTTATATTAGAAATACTTAATTAAAATGTTCAGATGATTGTAAAGATGGGAATGAAAAGCATGTAAACATAAAATTTACATTAGTGTCATAATAATATTATAAATTATACAAAAACCTGAATAATTACTTAGACTTCTTTTTAATATAACTAAAAAATGTACTAAAAGAAAAAAGTGATCAAAAATTAAAATATTAAAAAAACTTTTATTATTTTCACAAGCCATATTCTCTAGATATATAATCATTAAAACTGTCATTATTCACTCTAAATGTATTTTCAACACTGTACTTAACGATCGCTAACATTTAAAGGTGATCACTCAAATTAAGCAATATTTTTTGCTACGTTAATTTAATTTATAAAATAATTTAAAACAATTTCAATTTCTCAAACATTTGCAGTTTATGGCCCATCGAATGTATTGTAATTTATTGATGATTCATTTTTTTCTTTCTTTTTTGATTTGTTTGTTATTTTTATAAATATTATAACACGTTTATAGAACGGGAAAAGAAAACAAACACAATTTGGAAAAAATGTAGTAAACAAAAATATTAAATAAAAAAGTCTTATTAATGCAAATCTTTGAAGAAAAAAAAGAAACAGATTTCAAAGGAATTTGAATTTAAGGTTAAGGTGAAGAAAGACAACAAATTAACAAAGAAATCGAAGTATTTATTTGATGTAAATTTTTAGTAAAATGAAGGTTAACATCATTTAAAATTAAATTTATAAAATTTTTATTTTTAACTTAATACTAAACTTACCTTGCTATTGTATGTGTAATAATTAAATGTCTTTAAATAGGTGCCTAATGATAAAATATTACATTGTGGACATAAATCTTTTGTACGCCTTTGCATCATCTCCAATAGATATAGAAAATCTTCGGCTACATAATGATCTTCTTCCAGGAATAAAACTAAACCTGAAAAGAGTTGATAAATTTGGTTTGTTAGCATTAGACTATAGACTAGCCTATAGACTAAACTATAGACTAGACTGTAGACTAGACTATAGACTAGACTACACTATAGACTAGACTATAGACTAGACTATAGACTGGACTATAGACTAGACTATAGACTAGACTATAGACTAGACTATAGACTAGACTATAGACTAGACTATAGACTAGACTATAGACTAGACTATAGACTAGACTAGACTATAGACTAGACTATAGACTAGACTAGACTAGACTATAGACTAGACTAGACTAGACTAGACTATAGACTAGACTAGACTAGACTAGACTAGACTAGACTAGACTAGACTAGACTAGACTAGACTAGACTAGACTAGACTAGACTAGACTAGACTACTAGACTAGACTATACTAGACTATAGACTAGACTATAGACTAGACTATAGACTAGACTATAGACTAGACTATAGACTAGACTATAGACTAGACTATAGACTAGACTATAGACTAGACTATAGACTAGACTATAGACTAACTATAGACTAGACTATAGACTAGACTATAGACTAGACTAAGACTAACTATAGACTAGACTATAGACTAGACTTAGACTAGACTATAGACTAGACTATAGACTAGACTATAGGACTAGACTATAGACTAGACTATAGACTAGACTATAGACTAGACTATAGACTAGACTATAGACTAGACTATAGACTAGACTATTAGACTAGACTTATAGACTAGACTATAGACTAGACTATAGACTAGACTATAGACTAGACTATAGATAGACTATAGACTAGACTATAGACTAGACTATAGACTAGACTATAGACTAGACTATAGACTAGACTATAGACTAGACTATAGACTAGACTATAGACTAGACTATAGACTAGACTATAGACTAGGACTATAGACTAGACTATAGACTAGACTATAGACTAGACTATAGACTAGACTATAGACTAGACTATAGACTAGACTATAGACTAGACTATAGACTAGACTATAGACTAGACTATAGACTAGACTATAGACTAGACTATAGACTAGACTATAGACTAGACTATAGACTAGACTATAGACTAGACTATAGACTAGACTATAGACTAGACTATAGACTAGACTATAGACTAGACTATAGACTAGACTATAGACTAGACTATAGACTAGACTATAGACTAGACTATAGACTAGACTATAGACTAGACTATAGACAAGACTATAGACTAGACTATAGACTAGACTATAGACTAGACTATAGACTAGACTATAGACTAGACTGTAGACTAGACTATAGACTAGACTATAGACTAGACTATAGACTAGACTATAGACTAGACTATAGACTAGACTATAGACTAGACTATAGACTAGACTATAGACTAGACTATAGACTAGACTATAGTATAGACTAGACTATAGACTAGACTATAGACTAGACTATAGACTAGACTATAGACTAGACTATAGACTAGACTAGACTAGACTATACACTAGATTACATGACTATACACTAGATTACATGCATATCTTACCTGTATGATATCTTGTCACTTCCAATTGATCGAAAACCCTATTGGCCTTCCACCACCAATGATGTTTTGTTTGTGTAAATTTTGCCTCTCTATAATGTCCATAAAGATCAGGATATAGTGCGTTATTGCATTTACGAATTATGGCTCTGGAAACAAAGGAAGTGTTTTCCAATAAAAATATTAAATAACTTTTTAAAAATCCATGGCCGTATTAACGAATTTTTGATCGAATATCAAGACAAATTTCGCTTTCGAAATCAAGTTAATAGTTTACTTGATCATAAATACTTTAATTTGGTCTCTTCGATATTTTTTATGATTAACATTGACTTACTGATCTTTTTTAATATCACGTGGACAGTCATCCGGATCTACTCCCGGAAATTCATGTGGATGTGTTTGTATCGAATGTGGATAAAATATCTGAAATTGTATGTAATTTTAAAAGTGGATTTCATTTCTGAAAAAATTTAAAAAGTAAAGTATAATAGACGAAGACTATTTCAAAATTCGGTCTTTAATTTCTTATAAAAATGTAGTTTTTAGTATTTTTTGTTAAACTCACCTGCATAACTTTACAAAAGTCTATACTCTGTACTAAATCATTAATATCTTCATCATAAAAATCATGTGAAAATATTAATAGAACTTTAGAAATATCACGAGCCTGAGCTAGACTCACGATCAAATGGCGTAGGTATGTAATACGAGTGTGAACCTGAAGCAAGATATTAGAAATTGGGAAAATTTAGAAGAGAAGAAAAATGGAAAGATTTGCGATAAAAACTCACTTGTACTACAATTATCACAGAATCATTTTGTAGCGGACCAAATGTATATTCATTTAAAACTAATTGCATTTCATTATATTTGGCAATTTGTCGTTTAATCTCCGTTATATTGGGTGGATGATATAAATCGACAAAACTAACCGAACCGCCAGCACCATTCAATAAAGAACCATTATGTTGTACTTAAGGAAGAAAGAAAATAAATTTAAATTAAACGAAATATATATTTGTTAAAGTAAAAAACTTACAACTAGCTGCTAAAGTTTGATTACGTGTTTTGGGTGTTAGAAATTTGTGTAAAACAGATGGCACCATTGACAATATGGCATCAACTGAATCATTTGTGGGTTCTGTAAACAAATTGTCACGAGATTCAGCTGGAATTATAAGAAAAATCTCAATTATTTATTTGTTATAATTAAATGATTTAAATATACTTACGAAAATTAAAAGCATGTAATTGTAGGAATAAAAATATTACTAAAGTTATCACAATTATGCCTCGTATATAATAGGTATTACGTTTACGATGCATTGTCCCCGTATTAGGTAGGGGTAAAGGTATACGTCGACCTGTTGGCAAAAGAAAGTAATACGTATTTTTTTAAATAATTTTTAAATTTTTTAAATAATTAGTAAATTTTTAACATTATTACTTACCTCTCATGCTGTTTGAAATTGAAGTTCAAATGTTTTTTTTTTTTGGCTGGGAGGTATTTTTATTATTAACGTACCATTTTGTCTGTAAAATAAGAAAACAAAAATAAGATATCTTTCAATTAGCGCTTTTAGCACAATTCATTAGTTAACAAATACATATTTAAAGATAAGTAAAATTTGTTTAGTTCAAGGCCCAAATTGAACAGAAAATTAACTTGGGTGTGAAGTTCGTTAGATAAATATGTTTAAAAGGAATGGTACTATAAGGTCTAATATATCAGGTGAAAACACGAAAGGGGTAGATGTTGGAACTATATAGGCTATATTCAGTTGTATATCGTGTGATAGAATTAGCTTTCATATTTTTCTTGAGATTTAAGTATAATTTAGCCTTTCGCCATAGAATAATAGTCTACCAGACGCTGTCCCTTTCAATGCTCGCTTAGTATTTTGTGCACCATTATAATAGTATGAATCTAGGCGTATATAATGTTGAAAAATCCTAGTCGAACCTATAGCGATCATTTTATAAATTTTAGTTTAGTTATTTCAAAAATTGCTTTTAAAGGGTTAAAAGACGGTATATTTGTTGTATAATTTCTAGATCCTGCACAGTGGCACATTTATATAAGAGTTAAAACAACCCCATCAAAAAAAGGGCGGCTATAACATGTCCACGCCCAGTTTCTATGTTAATGCTAATTTACAATTTAAGTAATTTTTACAAAGTATTTTTAAAATATATTAAAATTTATAACATAAACTAATATAATTCTTATGATAACCATGCCCACAATGCCCATTTTTCCCTATTATTGTGTTAATAATTTAGTAAGACCATTTGATAAATAAAAAAATAATAAACATTACAGTATATTTTAAAAGTGGGCGTGTTCAATACAAATAAAGAGAATTTATTGTAGTGAAATCAAACAGGCTGATACCTAATCGTATACTTAATAACATCTATATTAAATCTACACAATTTCACACCCTCATTAATGCGTATGAAAGTATTATACCATATTAATCCATTTGAACCTGCAAAGTCTCAAAACATTTCCGGTATTATTTTTTTGTTTTATTTTCTTTACAACTAAATTTACTAAAATTTCCGTTTGCATTGACTTAACATATTGGAATGCTTTGTGGATTTAAGTAATGACTATAGTATTAAACTGTTTTGTTGCAAAATCTTATTTCAAAACCTATTCAATTACAATTGTATATATTTACATTTACTACATGTATGTATTTATGTATGAATAAAATTTATAGAAGCAAAGATGGCAATCTGCACTTTTGTAGTTTTTAAAATAAGTAAGACAACTAAATATGTATTTCTAAAGATACTAACATACATGTTTTTAAAAATTTTCTAATATTTTAAAATTACATATTTGATAAAGGATCCTATATGAAGCTTAGCAAAATCTGATATTTTCAATAGAGATAGATACTATTCAGTCAGTAGATTTTAAACATAGCTTCCCAGCAAAAAATCTGAAATTTTTGGTAATAGCCAGTAGTTATTTCATACATTACTTGGTAATGAGTGTTCATTATCATCCACATTATTTTATTTAGCTGAATAGGTTATTACTGGTAAAGAACAAAACAATTTGGATTTGTTATGGCTCAATTGTCTAGGTCGTTTATTTAACAAACAGGGGGTTCGTGGTTCGAGCCTTGCTGGATACTGTTTATTTTTTTCAAAATGACATTCATTTATATATTTTTGTAAAATGCCGTTCTCAAAATTACAAAAAGCAACATGTTAATGGAGCATCGAGTAAGCGGCTGGAGTGAGAAACACAGAAAACAACTGAATGCCTGGGTTCAAATCCCGGCCGAGAATTTTTTTATTTTTTGTTTTCTACATACAAAGTCGGCCCAAAATAACTAGCTATCACATAACATATTTGTAGGTTTATTTGTAACTAGTTATTTCGCAAAGTTTTTGTAATCAAATTAGTAACCATTTATTAATTTGTTTAAGGTAGGTACATATTATTTGAACCTCGTCGAACAAAAATAATTAGTTATTCACCCCAAAAGTAATTAGTTTCCACGTGATTGCAATATTACTTTCTAGATTACTAGGTAATGAAAATTTTTGCTGGGTTATTACTAGCTTAAAGCTAATCAGCTTTTACTTGAAGTAGGCTTTTTGACAAAAAGTTGATTGACGAAAAAAATTGAGATAACTGCTTTTGCTTTTAAACCTCATCACATACTATTATTACACCAAGTATTATTTAATCAACACATCAATTTTGTTTTACATAAGTAAATAAAGCAAATAAATAAATAATTTATGTATTTTGTGGGTTTTTCAATCTTTATTTCTTTGCAAAATTTTCTTAAGAATTATTACAGTCAATTACAATTTATTTTTACATATTCATTCACTCATCATACACTTGATTTCATTTTAGACATGTGTTGTTTTTGTTATATTTTCTACGTATTTTGTAGGTGAAAATGTAAACGAGTATGATGATGAAGAAGATGAGTATATAATGGATGAATGAATGGACTTGTATTCAAAACCTAAATTTCTTTAACATCCACTTGTATTCATACCAGGCATGGAAAATTCAGTACTTTAGTAATTATTAATAACGAAAATACCATGAGATATTCTTTACTTTTTCTAACACAGTTTAGTTTATAGTGTAGTCTATAGTCTAGTCTATAGTCTAGTCTATAGTCTAGTCTATAGTCTAGTCTATTGTCTAGTCTATAGTCTAGTCTATAGTCTAGTCTATAGTCTAGTCTATAGTCTAGTCTATAGTCTAGTCTATAGTCTAGTCTATAGTCTAGTCTATAGTCTAGTCTATAGTCTAGTCTATAGTCTAGTCTATAGTCTAGTCTATAGTCTAGTCTATAGTCTAGTCTATAGTCTAGTCTATAGTCTAGTCTATAGTCTAGTCTATAGTCTAGTCTATAGTCTAGTCTATAGTCTAGTCTATAGTCTAGTCTATAGTCTAGTCTATAGTCTAGTCTATAGTCTAGTCTATAGTCTAGTCTATAGTCTAGTCTATAGTCTAGTCTATAGTCTAGTCTATAGTCTAGTCTATAGTCTAGTCTATAGTCTAGCCTATAGTCTAGTCTATAGTCTAGTCTATAGTCTAGTCTATAGTCTAGTCTATAGTCTAGTCTATAGTCTAGTCTATAGTCTAGTCTATAGTCTAGTCTATAGTCTAGTCTATAGTCTAGTCTATAGTCTAGTCTATAGTCTAGTCTATAGTCTAGTCTATAGTCTAGTCTATAGTCTAGTCTATAGTCTAGTCTATAGTCTAGTCTATAGTCTAGTCTATAGTCTAGTCTATAGTCTAGTCTAGTCTAGTCTAGTCTATAGTCTAGTCTATAGTCTAGTCTATATTCTAGTCTATAGTCTATAGTCTAGTCTATGTCTAGTCTATAGTCTAGTCTATAGTCTAGTCTATAGTCTAGTCTATAGTCTAGTCTATAGTCTAGTCTATAGTCTAGTCTATAGTCTAGTCTATAGTCTAGTCTATAGTCTAGTCTATAGTCTAGTCCTATAGTCTAGTCTATAGTCTAGTCTATAGTCTAGTCTATAGTCTAGTCTATAGTCTAGTCTATAGTCTAGTCTATAGTCTAGTCATTAGTCTAGTCTATAGTCTAGTCTATAGTCTAGTCTATTAGGCTAGTCTATAGTCTAGTCTATGTCCTAGTCTATAGTCTAGTCTATAGTCTAGTCTATAGTCTAGTCTATAGTCTAGTCTATAGTCTAGTCTATAGTCTAGTCTATAGTCTAGGTCTATAGTCTAGTCTATAGTCTAGTCTATAGTCTAGTCTATAGTCTAGTCTATAGTCTAGTCTATAGTCTAGTCTATAGTCTAGTCTATAGTCTAGTCTATAGTCTAGTCTATAGTCTAGTCTATAGTCTAGTCTATAGTCTAGTCTATAGTCTAGTCTATAGTCTAGTCTATAGTCTAGTCTATAGTCTAGTCTATAGTCTAGTCTATAGTCTAGTCTATAGTCTAGTCTATAGTCTAGTCTATAGTCTAGTCTATATCTCTATAGTCTAGTCTATAGTCTAGTCTATAGTCTAGTCTATAGTCTAGTCTATAGTCTAGTCTATAGTCTAGTCTATAGTCTAGTATAGTCTAGTCTATAGTCTAGTCTATAGTCTAGTCTATAGTCTAGTCTATAGTCTAGTCTATAGTCTAGTCTATAGTCTAGTCTATAGTCTAGTCTAGTCTAGTCATAGTCTAGTCTATAGTCTAGTCTATAGTCTAGTCTATAGTCTAGTCTATAGTCTAGTCTATAGTCTAGTCTATAGTCTAGTCTATAGTCTAGTCTATAGTCTAGTCTAGTCTATAGTCTAGTCTATAGTCTAGTCTATAGTCTAGTCTATAGTCTAGTCAGTTAGTCTATAGTCTAGTCTATAGTCTAGTCTATAGTCTAGTCTATAGTCTAGTCTATAGTCTAGTCTATAGTCTAGTCTATAGTCTAGTCTATAGTCTAGTCTAGTCTAGTCTATAGTCTAGTCTATAGTCTAGTCTATAGTCTAGTCTATAGTCTAGTCTATAGTCTAGTCTATAGTCTAGTCTATAGTCTAGTCTATAGTCTAGTCTATAGTAGTCTATAGTCTAGTCTATAGTCTAGTCTATAGTCTAGTCTATAGTCTAGTCTATAGTCTAGTCTATAGTCTAGTCTATAGGCTAGTCTATAGTCTAGTCTATAGTCTAGTCTATAGTCTAGTCTATAGTCTAGTCTATAGTCTAGTCTATAGTCTAGTCTATAGTCTAGTCTATAGTCTAGTCTATAGTCTAGTCTATAGTCTAGTCTATAGTCTAGTCTATAGTCTAGTCTATAGTCTAGTCTATAGTCTAGTCTATAGTCTAGTCTATAGTCTAGTCTATAGTCTAGTCTATAGTCTAGTCTATGTCTAGTCTATAGTCTAGTCTAGTATAGTCTAGTCTATAGTCTAGTCTATAGTCTAGTCTATAGTCTAGTCTATAGTCTAGTCTATAGTCTAGTCTATAGTCTAGTCTATAGTCTAGTCTATAGTCTAGTCTATAGTCTAGTCTATAGTTAGTCTATAGTCTA